AGGAGAAGGAGGAGAAGGAGGAGAAGGAGGAGAAGGAGGAGAAGGAGGAGAAGGAGGAGGAAAAAGAAGAAGACAATACTGCGAGCGAGGAGCAGAGCCGACTCACCGAGGCTACCCAGGCATCCGAGCCGCCGGCACCTGTCGCAGGTTCAGCCATCCAGGCTCACGAGGAAGGCCCCGACTTGTTAACTGGTCTCGAGACAGAACTAGATCGCCAGGCTGAGGTTGAGCGGGCGGCTGTGCCCCTGACCCCTCCTCAGCCTGAGACGATGGCTTCCAACACCAAGACGGAGGAGGCTCAGGGTGAGGGTCGGGGGCAGTCGCTCGCCGAGGAGAAGGCGAAGGAAGAGGAGGAAGATGGGACAAATGCGAGCGATGGACCGGCGGGCTCCGGGTAGGGGACCGGACTGCTGTCCCCTCCGGAAACCGAAGCAGGGACTCAGGGAGTGCGGAGCCGGATGCTACAATGTAAGGGCATAGACCATACACCAAGGACATTTATTGTACGATGATAGAAGTCGTTCTGTGAGCATTGTAAACAGAATTAGAAGTAAAGGGTATGGGACTCTTCCTGACGCCACATGCAAGACACGCCGTGCGATAAAGGTAATGTAAGTGAGTAAGGTACTTTACGTAAGTAGGACTATCTTCTAGTGCATCTTCCAATGACGCTCTCTTAGGTACTGAGTAGTGACCGCATCCTTCAACGGCCGATCCATTGCTCCATGTGCGCATGCTGCAGTCGCAGTCGTATTCGCAGTCGCAGTCGCAGGCCCTGTCACGACAAGGCATATCTATATATACACGTGAATTTCCAAATTCTTCGCCCCCTGATTCACTCCTCCTGTTCCTCGCCCAGCCAGTCGTAGACAAGACGAAATTCAACCTTCTTGTCCTCCTTAGCAACGATAATATTCCGAGCATACCTCCGCTCGCCATTCACGTCCTGGAACCCCCAAATCTGGGTAGCAGTCCAACCATAGTCAACGTTCTCGACGTGGCTCAAGAGGAAGGTCTTCCCACCGGGCGCCTTGGCCTCGGCCTCGCCGACCAGCCAGCCCTTCTTGAGGAAAGCGTCTTCGATCTCGTCGAGCGAGCGCCAGGCGCTGTAGGCGCGGCAGTTGCCGAAGAGCCAGTCGGAGTGGTCGCGCCACTCGGTGTCGACGCAGCGGGCCTCAGTCGTTCCCTTGACGCCGCCGGTAGAGGTCTGGGAGATGTCGATGTGCACCGCGGGTTCGGTGGAGGTGGAGGGAGGGTTCGCGGGTCCTTCGTACTGCTTGACGTTTAGGGTGAGGGTGGCGAGGCCGATGGCCTTGCGGACCATCCAGCTGACACCTTGGAGGGCGAGGGCGGGCTCCGGGGAGTCGGAGAGGGTGGAGTTCTGGATATGGTGTAAGCAAAGATGAACCTCTCATCAAAACTGAGGGTGGCGGGCAGAAAACGAGAATCAAGAATGGAGGGACATGTCGAGAGAAGAGGAAGGATGGAGATAGGATGAGCTACTACTGCACACGCAGGACGGATCGAAAACATACCATCACCCATTTGCCCGAGAGATCACCGATCGTCTTGTTGGGAGGTGCCGCCATATTGTAGACAATTGTATGATTCTTCGCTGATCTAAGAGAACAGATTGTAATGTGTATTCTTTGTAACGACAATTGGAGGAAGAGTGCGCCGAGCTGGAGAGTTTCCCATAAGCTAAGCAGTTGTCGAGGTTATAAGGTGAGATTAGTATGAGAGGAGTTCAGGAACGGTGTTATTGCTGTTAATATAGGGTTGGTTCTTGCGGGGTATTAGCTATTGTATGATTGATTGCAGGATATTATTTATAAACAAGGGAAAACTGGGCTAGGTGGTTGTAGAAACCCCGGATTTTGTTCGGATCCCGACTGAAGGGCGTTCACATTCTCCAGAGACGTCTGCCAAGATCAAAGCGGTTAAGTGCGCATACAGGTATATGTTACGGTATTACCTTTAACGTTCAAGAAAAGTGGAAGAAGCCAGGCACGATCTACTGCGTATAGAAAGATGAATAAGATACCTTCTTATCTTATGATTGATTACGCGGCAGTCACGACCGTCAACCGCTGACGTATGCGGTAGAAGTACGGAGGTACGGATACTCATCTATGAGAGTCAGTGAGTGGCAGGAAAAGGGGAGAAACAGAGGTGGAGGTCAGTAGGTAATTCGCTCATAAGATTCCTTACGGTGAAACCATCCAATGGTGCAACAAACACATGCGAATCTATCATCTCATCCAACTTGGCCATCTCAGCCTCGGCACCGAATAACACTACACGTACCTTAGACCCCGCAAGATGAGGGGCTGCTACGGCAAGCGGCAGGACGGTCTGTTTCAACTTCCAAAAATCCCAAAAAAAATCATAGACAGACGCCCGTACAGGGGTGTACAGACTCGTATATAGTGGTACGCTAATAGCACGTAGAGCACCTTAGTAGTATACCCTTAGGCCAGCTATCTAATCAGAAGCCTAGAATTTTTTTTATGCCCCTACACTACTATAACGCCACGCCTACACTAATCTTATTTTCCTCTCTAGATAACTAATAACGAGCCAGGTAAGTAAACCTATATACACCCTTACACAGAGCTATAGCATTAAATCAGATATCGGAATTCGATTCTATAGGGTTAGATCTACTAGTATCCTTATCTTTAAAGCTATTTTATAAGTTACGGTTATACGACTTATTACTAGGCAGTTAGCTAACGATAGCGATATACCGTATAGGCAATTATAAATCCACATAGATAAATATGAGGATAATTCGTAATATAGCCGCTAATACGCGTCGCGTGCAGTGGCTAAATACGATTACTAGCGATAAACTCCCTCCCGCGCCCGTAGTATAGCCCTTTAGTATAGAGGGGAAGTAACTAACCGTATATATACTGGACTATACGTATCTGTGTGTCTCTATAGTATTAGGACTAAGCTAATAGATCGATAGTAATTAAGAATAGATACTCGAGAGATATCACCAGGTATATAGTAAAGAAAACGCCGGAGGTATATTACTGTATACCCCTATACAGCACTATATACTTATATATAAAATAGATCCGGCGCGGAATCGTACTCTAGCTTAAGTACGAAAAGGCGGGTGAAATAAAATTACCCGATTTCGATATAAAACGCCTGTAGGCTATTACGGGGTTTTTTATTTAGCTGTTTAGCTAGGAGCAGTTTAACGATAACCGCTACGAAAAGTGCCAGGATAAGCGCGGTAATTTAGAGGGCTGCGTTACCTTAGACGGCTTCGGGAACGGAGCCTACGGTAATTGCTATAACGGCTCGGAAGGAGCTAAGTGTTCGCTATACTATAAGATACCCTATAGCTCTCTATAACTCTGCATAGAACTATACTAATTAGATTTATAGTCGCGAAGAATAAGAAGCGCCGCGCCTCCACTATAGAGGATACTAACGATACTGATAGCCCGGATATATCGCCCCGTAGCCTTCGGGAGATAGCGCGATGGCTTAAGAATAAGACGGACCGTAGTAAGTTACTATTCTTACCCGTATAGAGCTTTACAGATATATACTAACCTGTACGTTAAGAGGAAAATAAGTAATGATTTTTAGGTTTCTTTTTAAAAACAAACCACCTTTTCTTTAGCTTTTGTGTGGTAAATAATAATACCTATTTTAATTTTTAAAAATAAGCTTTAATAATATAAATATATATATATATATATATAAGGTAAATAGTATAATACCTTATTTATTATATTATATTATTTATTATATATTTAAATAATAAAAGATACCTTATATTTAACTATATATTTATTCTTATATTTATTTCTGAATTTATTCTTATATAACGTATAGTATTACTTATTACTAGTACTATAAGTAGCCTTAGTAGTATTAGATATCTTATAAGTTATATTATAAAAGATAGTTAGAGCTACTAATATTATAAGTAATATAGTTAACTAATTATTACTTATTATACTACCCTATTTAAGAGGCTTTTTATTAGTAAAAAGATAATATATATATATATATATATATATATTACTTAAGTATATAATATAATATACTTATAGAATAATAAAGTAACCTTACTTTAAATTATTATTATTATTATTATCGATCTTACTCCGCTATCCTAACTAATCTATAGGAGCCTTTCTAGGCTATACGGTCCTTCTCGGGTGGCTATAAAGGGGAAAACCCAGGTAAAACCCGGGGAAAACCTCTATACCTTACTTTAAATAAAAGTAATTAATCTTACTAAGACTCTAAAAAGTATAAAACTATAGCACTAAGGCTATATAGCTTCTATATTTTATACTATTATAAAAAACGTCTTACTCTTACTATACTCGTTCTAAGTTATATACTATATCCTTTAATATTTAAAGAGGTTTACTCTTATTAGTCTAGCTATTAGTCTAATTATATAAATAATAGGTATAATAGAGTTATTAGCCTCTCTTAGTACTATTTAGGTTAAGTACTATTATATTAAATATAGGTTTAGACCTAGGAAATAT